TTTAATTTAGCCTAATATGATATTAATTCAAGTGGTCGCTAATAATAGATTTATTTGTGCATTAATAATCAACCAACGTAGATCAAATATGCTTAGGATTAATTTATTGTATGTTTGTTGATCGGAAAGCGCACATCAATATCATAAGAATTAAGTAGAGGCCGATTTAGAGCGGATTCAGTCTCTTTTAGGTTGGATTCGTACCATCATCCCCGAATATCCAGTCATGATTCCGGACCACTATGGAGTTAGCGATCTCCGTGATCGTGAATGGGGTGTGACCTTCACACCTGTGAACGGTTTATAAGTTCCTAAAACTTGTTGGCGGCTCTTTTATCTCTAGCTTCCTTCCCTTTAGACGCCACCATGCCTAAAAGCATGATCACAGTGGGGCTCAAGGTTGAGTTTGTTCCCTACACTCGTGCTTCTTTTTTTTTTACTGTAATGCCTGCTTTTAGGATGCTATAAAGTGAGCAACAAAATACATGTGCAAAAATAAAAGATTTTATGATTGTAAATTGTATTTGGTAATCTTCCTATTAGAGCTTTAAATTAGTTGTTATAATTTCAAATTAATAACAAAAAACTATTAGAATTTATAATTACAAATTCTATTGGTAATTTTTCGTATTGGTGCTATATATGCAAAATAATTAGTCGTTATAATCACTAATGATTTTTTTTTTCAATTAAATTAGTAGTTGGTTATCGTCCAATTGGTTAGTATAATATACTTATGATCCGCAGACTGGAGCTAAAAACTGTACACCACCCCAGTACCTTTCTCCAAGCTCGACTTGGTACTTTGACCAATGACTTGACCTGAATGAGTCGAGTCATGACTGGAATGAGAACATCTCCGACGGGGCCTAAACAAATGTTGAAGTCATCAACTCCTTTTTCCAAATGTATGGAGTTGTATTCTGTACAACGTATTATTTCTTAATGTCCGGACTATGGTGGTTGTTTGCTAATCTCCTTTATTCCCTAAATATTTGTGTCGTTATGCTACTTTAATTAGATTGTGTAATTCTGAATTTTAGTACTATGTAATATGGATATTTGATGTAGTATTAACTCATCTATTATTATTATTGTTGTTGTTATTTGGTAATCCTAAACCAACATATATATGCTAATTTATTTTATACCCCACTGGTTTTGCCAAAAATAAAAATTATGGAGTATTTATGTTAAATAGCATCATATAACATTCTACTACAAACTACCATATTTCATAAATTGGTAACAACACAAAGCATTACAAGTTTTTCTTAAAGAGAATTATTCTAGAGTCCTCCGACTAACAACAAGTAGCATTGCAAATTACTTCGATAATTTTCAACCCTTAAGATACAAGAAACACAAAATAACAACAACAGTAAAAATAATCTTGATACATCTTGCAACTAGTGTCTCTATCTCTGCCAACCTTCGCCACATAAAACCAACGTCAGCCCCGTTGGGTGTTTGGATAAGGTCTTCGTCTCTAGCCCACTACCAAAAGTTGTAGGATCTACACCGGTAGTATGGCCTTCTTGGGTTGGATTCCGAAAGAGAAATCCAAAACTCCGCTATGGTGTTGCCGCCGCAACTGCACCTCTTACCGGCCACCCATATGGTGTAGTTAAAATTATAAATATCCTATTATGGTGTGTATAGAAAGATATCAGCCCCCCACCTATTTATAAGGACAATTAGGCGGTAAAAACTTGGTCCAAATTTTCACTTTCCCGCTACATGTGTTGTTTTCCAAGCCCATGGAATAATATGGGCCTACAACTGTAACTTTAGGTTTCTTGGTTAAACTCAATTATGTAAATCTATCCTCTAGTGCAACTATAGGAGTTTCGAATGCTACCCATTTGAAAGACAAATTTACACAACTGACTCGATCTGACCTCAATTTGAAAACCCAGTTACACATTAAAACCTTTCAGTGGTACCTTTTGCAATGTCAAAGGCACCCCATAAAAAAGAACCATGTAATAGTTATTATGCAAAATAATAAATACCTAATGGTACTTGTACTTGGGAAGGTTTTTAGCATTAGCTAGTTAAAATATTTTCGCATTGACTAAAAGACGGTGAATGGTCTTCACATAAAACACAAACACAAGATATTAATTGTACGACCATTAACAATTCATTTGTACAACCATTAAGTAAACAGTTATGATATAGACATGAAACGGTATCGTATGTTGTTTGACTTACAATGCAAGGAGTTTATAATAGACTATCCTATGATGATGAATACGTATATTAACGGTCTTTTCTAACATTTATAAAACTTAGGTTGAACAACGCCTCCTAAATCCTAACCCTAAACCCTTAATCCTAATTAAAAAATCGTTTTGTAAGTGGAGTGGTAGCACACAATATCCTAGTGGTACCACACTATATTACTGGTACCCCAAAAGATGTAAGTGGTAACGCAAAATATAACAGTGGTACCCTAAAAGATGTAAGTGGTACCCTATAATACTTAGGTGGAACCCTACTCATTAACTGTTAATAATGGTACCCTTCATTGTTTAAGTGGTACTCTACAACGAGGATGTGGAACAATGTCGTATATTGTAAAGAATTGTACCCTTCATTGTTTCAGTGGTACCCTACTACATGTAAGTGATACTTTACATGAAACCGAAACCCTAAAGCATAACCTGTACATACAATTATTGATTTATGTGACTTATCCCTGTATATAATTAGACAACTAGAGAGTTACAAAAAGTTACACAACAATCATAACTAATTTTCACTTCTTTATTATTCAAAACGATACATGTTAACTTCATTGTCATTAATATTCCAAGCTTAGCTAACTTGTTAATTCAATTCAATTTATATGATTTTTTTATTCTTTAAGCATAATACAAACTATATCTATAAACCAAAAAAAAATAACACATACGGGGAACACTTTGTCAACAATATTCCGTTATGTAATATGTTTTTCCACAATGTACTTTGAAATTAAGTTAATTATGTGAGTTAAATGTCATTATGTGAGTAGTTACAATTGGAACATATATGTTCGGATTATAACGGTTCAGTGGTACATTACAAGGTTTCAGTGGCAACCCAGTAGTTTTAGTGGTACCCTAATAAATTGTACAGGTACCCTACTAGTGGAGGTCATATATCAGTGGTACCCTTGACATAATAGATGGAACTAAAGTTGTTGTAAATAGTTTATTTACCTCAATGAAACAAATATTGTTCTAATGGTACCCTTGACATATTAAATGAAATGAAAGTGGTTGTAAATAACTTAGATTACCTCAATGGAACAAATGTTGTTGTAATGGTACCCTTGACATATTAAATGAAACGAAAGTTGTTGTAAAAATCATAGATTAAATCAATAGAAGAAATATTGCTGTAATGGTACCCTTAACATAATAGATGGAATGAAAGTTGTTGTAAATAGTTTTTTTTATTAAATAAGTAAAATATTGTTGTAATGGTACCCTTGACATACTCATCCAACAAAATGGGCTTTATAAATCACCTTCCCATGTAACTGTTTAAAAAAAATGGGATTTACACATCACCTTGTCATGTAAGACACCAAAAATTGAGCTTTACAAAAACAACTTCCAAATTAATCACCTAACAAATTAGTCAGGTACTCAATTAGTCTATTTTTGTGATGCATGAGATGGCGGAGTCACAGGCGACTGAGGTCGAGGTAGTATAGGAATACACCCGGCTTGTCTTGATGCAACTGATAAAGGTGAAGTAGGGGTTTTCCATCCATACATTCTAGAAGGAACCTGACCCCGAGCAAATTGAGGATACGAAACATAGAAACCCTGACAATGAGAAATTTGGGATCCGTAGAACTGTTGAGCTCCACCACCGACAGATGTAAAGTACCCAATTGAGATGTCCCCATCCAGCATTTGAATGCCACCCACACACTGTGGACTGTAAGGAACCATGTTCTGAATACCCTGCGTACAAGGTGCCTGCATGGCCAGCATTTTTACAACACATCGAAACAACATTTTAAAAGCAAAAGTCTGCAACAGTCTAAAATAATTTACACTACAGGACCATATTCCACACGTCAATTCCAGGTTGAGCAAAAGTCAAAAAAAAATGCAGCAATTTCATGCAACCAAATCACAGTAACCATAGCAATATGATTCAAAGCAATCTGATTCAGTGCATATGCAGCAATCTACAAAACACCAGTATGCTATACTGGAGTTGAGATGGAAGCAGATCTACAACACTATTGTTCACAGCCCACTAACAAACCAAAATATTTCTGAGGTCCTGGGAATTATCAATAACCTATGGCATTGACACATTCCAAACAGGATAACAGCTCCATCACTTTGGTGTAGAAAGTGATTGCATTTGAATATAAAAGCAAAGTAATGGACCACAATGGCAACAAATGACTTGTGCCAACCTACCAAGTCAATTATCCTCAATTCCTCATAAACTAGCATTACCTACCCCTTCCCAGTATGAACCACCCATCTTGTTTGTAACGAAAAGGTCAAATCTTTATAATAGGACTAGCTTAGTGGAGCTCAAATAGAACAAAAATGAGATATAGAGGAAAAGCAAAACCAATGCAAAATCAGAATATGTGCCTCATTTACAGAGAAATAAGCATTGAAAGTTTGGAATATGAAAGCATTTTATAAGAATATATACCCCAATTGTCGCGGGTGGTGTTGTTTGGGCTTGAGAACCACTCTTATTCTTCCCTTGCGTGTTCTTCGTTGTCTTTGCCTTTTTCTTTGGTTTCTCAAGACATGACTTGTACCCCAAATACAGGAGTAATCCGTGGTGCGATGCACATGCCTCTTTGGTAAGGGTGGGTCTTCCACAGGAACATCTTCTTCTTGCACACCATCACAACTACCCTGTCTTTGAGTTGAGGGAATTGAGTCCTTTTCCTTCTCAAGACAAATAGATAAAGGTGTTCCAATTACACCTTGACCTCTTTTTTTCGCAACCATTGCTAACTTCTACTCAACTTGCAATTCAACTAACTGCAGTGCTTGCATCACCACTTCAGTAGTTTTAATGTAACCCAAAGCTTTTGAACACAAACTATCAATCCTGACCATCATCTTGTCATACCTGCAAACCTCCTCAGTTTTACTTGGGTCATGGTAAATAACTTTCACCCTTGTGTGCTTCCAAATCACATCTTTTCTCCACCTTTGAAGAATGTACTTGTCAGGTATCTCGTAGTAGTTGCTCATCTCAAACACCTTTATGATGTGGCGAAAAATAATGTCATGACATTCAAAGTACTGACAATCATAGGTAACTTCATTTGTAGAACTATCAATTACAAGCTTGTACTCCCTCTTTCTCTTTAAACGAATTTCTTTGTTAGAGTTTTTTAGCTTTTACCAAACTCAGTCCTCTAACACATGCTCGGTTAAAGTATCAGAAATCTGCTTTCGGTGAATCCCACTGACATATATTATACGGTTGCACTCTCTTTGCACCTCTTAAAATTTGGCATCCGTGTATGTCTTCTGAAATACCAACTCAGCTGGAAAATCAGTGTATGCTTAACGCACATACCGCTCATTGTTATCATCAGCTTTTTTCTCACTTGTACATCTAACCTCCAAGGCATGACAATACCTCTCCACAAACTCAAACAACAAAGTGTGCTTGCTTAAATAGCCATTAAAAAACCTATGAATACTCTTCACACGTTGAGTTGTCTTCATTCCAACCCAAAATAGATGTTTCATAAAGACGGGAACCCACATATGAAATTTATCATACAACCCTATCACATTGAAGGAAAGACACATAAATTCACAACACAAACCAAAAAATCAAATCTGTTTTCCCTTCAGAAAAGATACAATTGCAGGAGCATAACTCTAAGGCATTCAGTCAGGATTAACAGTTGCAAAGAAGTTCATTCAGGACTTTAGTCAAGTAGCATAACAGGTACCTGACATACATGTAAGCATAACAGGTACCTGACACAGGATGCATGAAAGCTCAAATCTCCAGTTCTTCATTTTTTCAATCAGAATTAACACAACTGCATGACCACACACTGCTATACATGTATATATATTCTATTTCTATAGATTGAATAAGAGGAGTCCTTGAGTCACAGGCCAAGGTTGATCAGGTCAGATTGCATACTTGCATTCATGAAATTTGGAAGGACATAAAGACTTTCATGAAATTTGGAAGGTTATAAAAACTTAATTTACATGCAAGCCATCCATGCATCATCCTAAACTCAAATTCATATTGGTGAAATCAACAGAATGATCAATCTCTCAAATAGATGCCAAACACTGTCCACTATCACGTTTTAGGAAACTTGTATTTAACATATTAACAACATGTATCTAAGTCACAATGTCACTATAGCTAATTCAGAGGCACAATTTGCAGGCATAATGCAGACAGTACATGTAAATGCCCTTTACTTGTATATGAAAGGTCACTATGTCAGTATCAGAAGAATAGTATATGCAGACAGTACATGTAAATGCACCATATTTCAACAGCACCTAATAGGTATAATCACCCAATTTCAATCAGGATCTTTTCTAAGTAACATATTTCAACAGCAACTAACAAGTATAATCACCCAATTTCAATCAGTAGCTTGTATGTACCACCTAATTACAAGTAATATGCACACAATCGTAGCTTTCCTAAGTCAGAATCACATAATTCACCAAGCAACAGAAGCAGACAATACAGCTATCATATGCACCAATTAATGCTATATATATCTGATTTAATGAACCAAGTTGGTAAATCAAATCTTATCTATATTAAACCCCATTAATAGAGTGATTAGGAGGCATACCTTGTAGCCACTCGTCATCTTCTAGTTCATGTTTTTTTTATTACTTCAGGCCAATTGGTCTCAAACTCTTCACAATCAAGACTATCGTAGATGGCATTCTTAAGATCATCGTGAATTTTTGCATAGTTAGGAAGCTTTCCTAGCTTCTTGGAAAATTTTTGGGTTATGTGCCAAATGCACCATCGATGAATGGTTCCTTTCATAGTCGACTTTAAAGCTTTCCTCATCGCCGATCTTGATCTGTTAAGATGCTAATTGGATGTATCTCCACCATACACCTCAACCAATTTAAAAACACCCACTCAAATGTTTCGGCGGTATCACGAGAAACTAATGCACACCCAAACAAGATAGTTTGACCATGATGATTAACACCTACAAAATTGCAAAAAGGAAGCTTGTATTCATTTGTCAAATACGTTGAATCAAAGCAAACGTCTCCGAACTCCTCATACGCCATCCAACTCCGCTCATCAATCCATAAACATCTTGCAACCTACCCAACTCATCTACATGATGGGTATGAAAAAAATTTGAGTTATCATCAACCATCCTCTTAAAGTATGCAAACATGGATTTAGCATCACCTTCCTCAAATGTCACTTTCCTTTGCTTGGCAACTTCATCGTGCAAATCCTTTACGGAAAATTGCATCTCCTCCCGCCCCTTCTATTGTAGGGCCACATAATTGTATATGGTAGCGACAAGTACACCCGCCTTGCGATCATTTAAAAGCTTTTTAACAATGTGAGGATTGTCCATTAAGAACTTCTTCCTGAACTTGGTGATATTTTTGGACTTCCCTGGTGTGGGCTTGTGACCTTGATGCTCTACCATTGCCTTATCAATCACCCATTCACCTACCTCGTTCACCTTAGCATACAACTTCACGGGGCAGCTAACTTTTTTGCTCTTGCGTTTCACACAAACTTTATCACTTATTTGTGAATCTGAAACAAAGGTGGAATCGGACTTCTTACTCTTCCTACCAGGCAAGCCAAAACATTCACAAGTCCAAGTAACATTACGCTTCTCCTTTGCATTTGAACATTTTCCTTTAGTCGCCCCACTAGAACGGACAACCCCAAAACCTTCTTGTTTTCCGTAATTCTTAAAGTACGTGTCTATTTTTGGCCAACTCTCAAATACCATTCAATAGAAGGGGGGGGGGGGGGAGGGAAACCTCAACGTTTGCATACTCTTCAATCTCAACACTTATAGCCACACTACCCTTTCCTTTAGTAGGAGTTTTGTAGGACTCTTCTCCAACATTCACCTTTTCACATAAAATCAATGCATTTCACAAATATAATCCAATACACACCTAACTAATTCAAAAATAAATTCACATACTTAACCACTAGCACACACTACAAAACCTAAAACTTTAAACAGTGTTGGTATTAAACAAATTAGGTCCACTATTACCACTATCAAACAGCAACAAAACAAAGGCAAAAATAACAAAAGCATAAATCATTTTTATACACTGAAAAGCAAGAACACGCAAGATCCACCACCATGAAACTATACAATTGTCCCCCAATGTCATACAACAGCAAAACCAAAGGCAAAAACAACTACAATATTCATTTTTATAAACTGAAAAGCATCACACACATAAGACCCACCAGAACCATTAATACAATTGTCCCCTACCTTACTACTGCATAAGTAAGGCCAATGCTCCATTCCCACCTCTCTCTCTCTCTCTCTCTCTCTACATATTCATACTAAACCAAGTAATTTTATACATACCGTACCTATTTTGAATTTTCAGATTAATTAAATCAATAACCTATAAATTAAAGGTGCGAAATTACAATAAGTTGACAGCACACCCCCTCTTCGTCATCTTCTTGCTCAAGGGTTTCGATCAGCGGGTCTTCGGGATTTTCAATGGCGGTTGTGTCGCTATCTGATACAACGCCGGTACAACGACCTCCATCATTTCGTCACCGTTTGTTAACATCGAATCTTCCATCACCAACATCTTCCTCACCATTTTCACACATTAATTCTCTAAGTTTTCACCCTTACCTCCACATGAATTCTTCAATTAACAAAGAAAATACTTATCAAAAAATAAAGAGGGTGAACAAAAAGTAAAAAGAAAGAAAAGAAAGTAAAAAGAGGAAAAAAGCACTCGTATAATATACATGTACTATACTTCCCTACAATACAAGCATTTACCTTTTTATAGGTAAAGTGCTTACTTTTTATTGTTGAGTGGGACTCCCTCCATTTTCTTTTCCCTCTTAACAGCTCCCATTATTGTTGTTATGTATTTCTTCATGCATATCAATACTGCGTTTATACTTCCTCATAACAACCAAACAATAAAGTTTTTAGGAAAGTTAGTTGATTTTCTTAAAATAATATAGGTAGTGGGGAATAAATTGAGGAGAGTGAAGAGAGTAAGGGGTTTTGTGAGAGTCATTAGTTAGTAAAATGTTGTTAAAAATAGAGAGAATATTATTAAAAAAAAAAAAAGAGAAGTTACTAAATAAGGAAATGTTTCATTTATATAAATAAGGCCGGAAAAGGAAAACATTTCATTTATTTAAACACAGAGGGAGTAGTTCCTAGAAAATTTGATGTGGGATTTTAATTCCCATGAAAATACAAATGCCCATAAAAAATTAATTCCGTTATCAACCAAACAATACCTAAAATTCTTCATAAGTACACTAAGGCCTTGTTTAGTTCACCTGATTTAAGCTAATCTGATCTGATCTGAACTTATATTTTCTGATCTGATCTGAACTTATATTTTCTGATCTGATCTAATCTGAACTTATATTTTCTGATCTGATCTGATCTGAACTTATATTTTCTGATCTGATCTAATCTGAACTTATTTTTTCTGATCTGATCTGATTTGAACTTATTTCTTCTGATTTGAACTTATTTTAATTATTTTAATATTCTACTTTTAATGTTAATCAATATTAATGTTTAATACCTACAAATTTTGTAAAGAAACATATAAGTATTAAAATTACTAGATAGTATAAGGTAATAGAATTGGAATATTTGATAATTTTATTATTTACAATATCCCACTTCATAAATGAATTTTTTTTATAAGAAATAATTAAAATGGGGATCCTAAAAAAACTAAATTACAGATTAAATTTATCATAGCTTTTTTCTATATAGAAAAAAGAGATTTGACTTGTTTTCAAATACCTTAATTCTTAAATAATAATATGGATTTATGATGTATCGGATTTGATTTTATCGTTTGTTTGAACTAGCAATATCTTCTATGTTATTTTGTACTAATTTTAATTTAAAGTAATGCGTAGCTATTATTATTGAAAACCTTATACGTATACTCCCTTCGATTTTAAATACCTTCTCCATTTCTACATGTGGGGAGTTTTAGAAAAATTGGTAAACGTAATAATATATGGAGCTTGTGGCATATCGAGGGCGTTCTGGAAAAAAAACATGGAATGTTTTGGCTGCTTGTTCCTTTGATAGACTTTTCACGTTTATCAACGTTGGATTTGAAGGTAGTGCTCATGATATTACTGTATGGAACCATTGCTTAACCGTACCAGAATTTCGATTTCCCCATCCACCTCTAGGTATAATTTAAAATAGTGTATGTTTTTACTCCATACATGACACTATACTAATATGTTGTATAACTTTATTTTGTAACATGAAAATATTATCTAGTAGATTCTGGATATCCGAATACCGTTGGATATTTGAGTCCAATAAAAGATAAAAATATTAGAACTCATATGCCCGAATTTCGAAATGGTCCACCACCTCAAGGCATACTTGAACTTTTTAATTATCTTCACTTCGAACAACGATCGAGAGATGTTTTGGACAATTAAAATCTCGATGGAAAATATTGACAATGATGCCAAATATGGACACTAAACATCAATTGGAAATTATGGTTGCTACATTCACACTTCACAATTTTATTCGATTATATGAGTTGGATATACCCATTGATAGTGGCATAGAAATCGAACCAAGAGCAAATTATGATTTGTTTAACGAGAATCGTAAAGCTGTAATGAACGAAGTACAACTTAATATAGCGAAGGAAATTTGGAACTTCTTGTAATGAAAATTATATTTGTAAACGTTTATGATTTGGAGCTTATAATAAAATTTTAATTATTATCGTTTATTGTTTGTGCTATTTATTAATAATAATAATAATAATAATAACCATCATAATAATATTAATAATAATAATAATAATAACCATCATAATAATAATAATAATAATAATAATAACCATCATCATCATCATCATCATCATCATAATAATAATAATAATTATTATTATTATTATTATTATTATTATTATTATAATAATAATAATAACCATAATAATAATAATAATAATAATAATAATAATAATAATCACAATAATAACAATAATAATAATAATAATAATAATTTGTATCTGATCTGAAATTTTCTGATCTGATCTGAACTTATTTTTTCTGGTCTGATCTGATCTGAACTTATTTTTTTTTATTTGATCTGATCTGAACTTATTTTTTCTGATTTGATCTGATCTTGACTTATTTTTTTTCTGAAATAAGTAATAATAAGGTGAACTAAACAAGGCCTTAAAGTTTGAGGTATTCATAAGTATGGAGTACTTTTTAGCTCGTTTTATTGATTTTGCTCATTTAATATTCTCCAATTGAACAAAATAGATAAAGATAAATGTATCCGAGAACAAGTTAGAGGTGTTTCCTTCTCCGTACATAATGACACAAATTAATGACCTTTGTTCTGTTTTTTTTTCATAGCAATGACCTTTGTTCAATTAATGTTGTGATGAGTAGGGTTTTAGGTTTTCCAATGCATAAACTTAACCATTGCTATAATTACACATAAAATTAAATTAATCAATATTTTTAAAAATTATATGGAGAAAAAAAAAATACCTATAACAAGATTTATGTGTCCGTAAGAACTTCTTGAGGGTAAAATACTACTCTACATTAAAGCATTATTCAATTTGGACCGATATTGGTTGATTTTTTCTAGTCATAGTTAAGCCCGCCCTAAAGCCTTAGACCAATTGAAGTGTGTGGCCTGACTGGCCTATGATTCAATGAATAGCACCTCATTACTAAGACTTTTTTTTTCTTTTTTCTTTTTACACGGTAAGATACGAGGGGTATTCCCCTATCACAGGAAAAGCGGGATGAGGATCAAACTCAGGTCATTCCTGGAAGAGATGGAGGGACTAACCGTCCTTCCAGATACTCTATGCTAAGACTTAATAGAAATCAGCTATTAGAATGTATTTTGGTCGTTTATGAAGTTGGAACCATAAATTGTCTCATAGTAGAATAAAATCACCTTATTTTGTTAACTGTGAGGTTATATTTACTGTACTAAAATGTATTCATGCTAGCTGCACATGATACATTATTTGCATAAAAAACGATCATAGATGCTAGGAAAGTTCGTACGGTAAACAAATTGGGATACTTTCTTTCAAATGGATAAGTATATTTGTGATTAAAGTTAGACAAATTTAATCTAACTTTTACCCTTTAATAAGTTTGATTGAGAGCTTATGAATAGTAACTCTCGTGTGAGCCAAAACATGTATGAAAAGCATCACGTGTTATTTATAAATAACTAAGACTAAAAGTACTATAATGACATGAAGATGGATAACAAGATGACTTATAATGGGAGGAGAGAATGTGAGGGTGGTCCGGTGGAGTTGGTTTTAGAGCAATGATGACAGTGATGAAGAACAATATGCCGATATGATTCAAACAGGTGAAAGGGAAATGAGGCTTGGATCTGTGGGACTACAACTATGGGGGATGAAACTTATACTGGTGTGAAGTGTTTGGCTAGGGAGAGCTAACTTGCTGCTAAGGAAGGTGTTCTTAGGGTTCAGGGGGAGCTTCATCTTGCACCTTTTCTTGCTGGACATGACTGCAAGATTCCTACTCCGGCTCTTCCTCTATCTGCACCCTGTAAGGGCCGGGCAAGGCTCACCCTTCCTTTGCAACACCTCAGAAGCTTCTGCACTTCCTGGCGTCCCACTGCTTGCTGATCTAGAAAGTGTTTTTAACCGTAGCAAACAGACCCAGGCTGCTGAGGAATTTAGCCGTTAGTGGGAGCATTTTGGCTTTTTGTCTCAGGCTTGCCCTTTTTTTTTTTTTTTGTGAGCTTATGTAACAAAGTAAGACATGTTTGTGCTACTAGCTTCTTTATCTTTTTACTTGGGTTACCAAAAATGTTTTGTATGTTTCCATATTTAAAACTGAAATCCAGTTGGTTTAATTTTGGTTACTAAGGGTTGGTTATTGCTGTGATTTTCTGTATTTTGGTTTTTTGTTTTTTAAAATCATATGATATATGTCATATAATAGATAAAAAAATTAGTCAAACTTATTAAAATCATAATAATTATAAAAACTGACAACAAAAAAGTGAAAACACCTTTTTCTTGTTTCCTATTTTTGGTTTTCAAAAAAACAAAATTTTAAAATCAAATTTTAAAACTTTTTATTTTCCATAGTTGTTTTTTTAAACAAAATTTACCTCCCTGGAGGTTATACGGAGTACATTGTTGGAAGTGGCAACTGGGTATGCTGGACAGATTTTCCAATAGTTTAACATTTTAAAGATAAGATATAGTGCTGAATATTGCTTGCTGATTTGTTTAGAACTGTACTTGTAAAACTTAGTACTTTTCCATTTTCTGAGGCCCGGTTTCAAATTGGTTAAGGCAGTCCCGTCCCAGATAACACAGGGGCACAGGGCCTGGGCAAACTGCATGGAACTTCCGTTAAGCCTAGTTAGCTGGTTTTAGCAAGGCCGACTTAACAAAATGAGAATGGTTCTCAATCATAATCTCATTGCAATCAAAGGCCATCAATAAGCAACAGTCAACCCTGCAAGTGGTGAATTTTCACAACTCATGCAGATAGCCTCGATCTAATTAACAAAACCAAGTAAACTTATTATCCAAGACGATTAAAGCCTTCAATCATATAGACAGATAGACTCACTAGAACACTGACTTGCAATTTCAAATTAAACAGTTACAGACTTGGACAACATTATGCACAAGATTATTAATTTCCAGTCCCAAATACTCTCGTGACAAACTACACTTCATACAGCCTAATTCCCCATGACATTTAAATAAAGCCAATAAAAGAGCAATGCTACAAGCTAAAATAACTTTTAAATTCAAAAGAAACATTGTCAAACGCATTGAAATTGAACGGTATGGTAAGATCGACAAATCACCAGACAGTAGAACATCTTTCCCCATCCCACAAAATCTCAGAAGATTTCAGAACCATAAATCAATGGAACTATGAAAGAGAGTGGATCAAACTAGCAACACTTGATTGATGTAAAAAAAGTACGATGGGGCATTCATGGTAATGATAACTGTATACCCACGAAGCATAGAACAAAAATTCTAGAACCGATGTAACCCAACAGTACAAAGAAAACTAATAAATCGTCAAAAAAAAAAGCTCTTTTTCACTAAAAATCCAATTTAACCCTAGCGGGATAACAGCTAATAAGATAGACAAAAGTTTAGCATTCACGAAACAAAACAAAGGTTTAAGCAGATAAATTTTGGGCCTTGTTGAGGATAACTCCCTCATATTTGACCTGGAACCACTTCATGGCATCATCCTTGGTAACTCTGTGCTGGATTCCAACACGGGCCTTGCACCTTCTGCGACGGGCAACACGGTATCCAGGGCGCTCAAGAACAACATAAAAGTCCATACCATAAATACCAGTAGAGGGATCATACCTGAAAGGTGAAAGAAATAAAAGACATTCAGGAACTAAGGTCGATTTAATATTATCCGTAAAGGCCCTTGTTTAAGAAGGCAAGGTTTTTAGCCTAATAATATCCATTTTTAAGACTAACATTGCAAAAACAGAAAAAAAAAAATACATACAATAAAACAGCCACAATGCCTACGGCTGTGTGACTAACTACAATGCTATCATTACATAATTAGGTTTTTGATCAATGTTAAGTAACTGCAGAATCAAAAAATTGAACGATAGTAACAGATTAATAAATTCTGATAAGCTAAGATAATAACTTGCAACAGCAGCATTACCAAAGGATGACCATATAACAAAGCTGATAGACAAGTTAATGATTAAGCATTTAAATTCATATGAGCCAATGTAACAATGTGCAACGACACTACCAACAGATGATCAAATAACATATCAAAAAATCATGGATCACTTAATTCCAAGATCAGCATATAAATTCATAAGAGTCAATGTAACAATGTGCAATGACACTACCAACAGATGATCAAATAACATATCAAAAAATCATGGATCACTTACGTAATTCCAAGATCAGCATATAAATTCATAAGAGCCAATGTAACAAAACAGATGATCAAATAACATATCAAAAAATAATGGACCACTTACTTAATTCCAAGATCAATGTGCTCTTGAATACCAAAACCAAAACATCCAGTTTCACTGAAGTTTCTCCTCAACAACTCGTATTCCTTGACCTTCAAACCACTTTCAAGCAACTGCATTGCTTTGTCACCTCTAACAGTCACGTGACAAGCAATCTTTTCATTACGTCTAATTCCGAAAGATCGGACAGTGTACCTGGCTGTTAATCATAAACAAACCACTATAAACAAAACAAGCAAATCCCACTGCTTATCTTTTCAACAAAATCATAAACAATTATCATGAAACACTTTCTACACAATGTGATCGACTATAATCATAACAACAACAAAAAAGACACATCTGCAAAACATAACATATTTTTTCTACAAAAACAACATTTCTTACAAATGTACTGCAACATAGGTTCAACAACATGAAAAACAACAGATTCCCGTAATAAAACACTCCTACAATGTTCCCATTATCTAGTAGTGATCTAAGGTTGACAAACACAAACACCCCAACAATTTAAGGCATTCATAAAAGACAATTGCAAATTAATACTCCTACAAAGTCCCTAATATTTAGTACTGATCTATGCTCGACAAACACGAAAACCCAACAAAACAGGGCATTTATAAAATACAATTGCACATTAAAACAGTTCACTAACACAACCTAACAGATATTTTATTATCTTTTCACGCACATTAAAACAAATCAGAAAGTAATTATAAATCTACAACATCTATCAATACAACCAGCACTTAAAGCACAGCACTCCAATACAAAATATCAACCCCGACAATCAAACAACTAATTAAAGTTCTTATTATTTATACCTTTGGAGTAAACAGGGGTTTGACCACTGAGTTGTTCCAACACCTAAAAACATAACAACGAAGATTCAAAACCTATTCAAATTTTCAGCATTATTCAAACTAAATTTAAAGAAACTAAATTTGCTTTATTATACCTTAGCAGCTCTGGTAAGACGATCACCACTTTCACCAACAGAGATGTTGAGAACAAGCTTTTGGACCTTGATGTCCCTCATGGGGTTCGATAACTTCTTCTCCGGCGCCTGAATTTGTTAAAATTAAACATAATTAAAACCCTAGAGTCAATTTATAACAATTCTCAAAACCCTAAAATCAGAGATTCATAAACGTAAATCAACCAAGATTTGAGCTTAAAAACCCTAAAATCCATTATAACAAAGCTTTAAATCCTAGATTTTATCAAATTTGAAATTAAAACCCCAAGAATCCACTAAAATCGGAGCTTAAAAACCTAAAATCCATCAATACTAGAGAAAAAAAACTGCATAACCACAAAATTCATAGCGAAAAAAAGAAACCAAAGAATACATTGAAATCGACAGAATAGAGCGAGATAGTGAAAGAAGAGAGAGAAAATCACCATTAGAGAATAACTGGAGCAGCAGCCGACGGATGGAGAGAGAGGAAACGTTAGAGTGAAATGTGGAAATGAAATAAAAACCCTAAAATAGGGCGGAGGCCAAGCTAGGGTTTTATGTTGATGATCAATATGTTTGCTGGGTTTTTATGTTATCATGGACTGGGCTTCATATCGTTGATTTCTTTTTTTCAAAGGTTGGGTTTTGGTTGTTTACGGCCCAATTCGTATGTAGATTTTTTTAAAAAAACAATAAAATAAAAACATGTATTTTTATTTTTTCTTTAAATGAAGCGGTACTTCTTCTATCCCGAAATAATTGACACAGTGAAATTTGGTACATATGTCAATGCATTAGTTTGAACTTGGATATACATAGTTAAATACGGAGTGCATAATATTATTTATTTAAAGAAACTTGTACTTTTTCTATCCCAAATTGATTGATAGCCAAACTTAGTACACATGTCAATACACTAGTTTGACCTTAGATATACATAATCAAATATTTGACCTTAGTACAAATAAATTATGGTCAAAATTAATATATGAATAGAAAAGGAAAAAAAAAAAAAAAGGCCAACGTGTCAATTACATCGGATGGAGGGAACCGTATGTAAATTGTGTTATTGATGTTGACTAATCCGGCAAATGATTACACTTTCTAACATGAGTTAACATCATGAAAAAATACATAACGTTAGAAGTGCTTATGGAAGAGACAACTCGCGAGAAACTGATCAGGTTCAACTCGATTAAACCTCGACTCAAGTGCAACCAGCTCAAGTTTGGGTCCAACTCAAAATGTAATGAGTCCAATTGAGCCGAGCAGCTCATTACTCGACTTGAAAACCTTGCGAGAAACTCAAAATTTTTAAATAATATTATATTTGATAAAACTAGTAGAGGGTGTCATAGATAGTAATATAAAACTAGTAGAGGGTGTCGTGGACAACAATCCTAGGTTATAAAATAAAACTCTAAACCTAAGCTACAAGCATCGAAAATGCAAGCACCTAGACATTATAACCAAAACAATTACATATAAAATGTTTTACACTTATGAAGAAGATGGTATTAGCTATTCCAAAAACAAGATCTATGCACTTGTATCTCCTAAAACATATATCCTAGATATTTGAACAAAAATCATATATACTTTGTTATACGGAGCTCTTTTTTGCCCCCAACCTTTTCTGATCTTATTTTGTCTATAAATTCCAATCTAGAAGATTTTTGCCATCATCAGTAGCAATTTGAGCATCAGAATACTTTAGTTGCTCTCTACAAATGCACCAGCAAGTCCCTCGACCAAGGTGATGACTTCAAAACTATCATCAAGATAGTATCTTGCCATGCTTGGCTTTTGACCAACTATGTGCGTTCTGTTTAGAGATTGGCGGCAATGATGAGTTTGTGGCTGCATAACCGATACCCTTATACACATCTTCATCAGAACAATAATAAGTCTAATGATAATACAGGTGACATGCCTTATATAAATTAGAAATGGAAATAGCTTATGATCGAATAGAATGAGATTTTTTACAAAAGTGTTTAGAATCTTATGGTTTTCCTCTACGATGGATTATTTAGATTAGTGACTAGTGAGTGTGTAACCAAAGTCTTTTGCTCTTAGAAGGTAAATGACTCTTCTGCCTAATGGTTTAAATCATTAAGAGGTCTACGACAAGGAGATCCCTCTCTTTACATGGATTTTTTAATTAGAAAACTTTCTACTAAAGGAAATTTCTACATGATGATCTTCAAGAATTGGATTTTCTACTTTGTAGAGATATTTTTTTGGCATGGTTTCAAGTGGCCCTATACATTTAATTAAAACTATTAAGTGCACTTATTTCACTAAACTAGGTTTAACCAACAATTTATGGACCTTTTAATTCTAATTAGTTAATTTACTAGCCTACCCTTAATTTAATTCCTTCCAATTCTAATTAGTTAATTTACTAGCACCGAGGGACCATTCAACTCCATTGCAGCCTTTTCTACTCATTTTCTCCTATATTCTTTAAATATTAGGGTTTGTTGTAATTTTGTATCTTAGTCTATTTGAAGGGATGAATTTTCGTGCAATAGTTGTTTACCAAGGGTTAGTTTGCTTTACCATTTCACAATACCTAGGCACGCAGATGTCCATATGACTCATATCATCATGACCACCATTATTAGTCACTCCAAGTGTCAAACTCCTCATTTTGTAAAATGTGCTTATAACCATTTGAACTCCATACCTACCCCACAATAGCTCATTCAGTGTTTTACCATTTATATCATTATTTGCCCTTATGTCTTCCATTAACTTACTTGCAGCCCATATGACATTTATCTAGTTTCTTTAATCTAATCCCCCACAAAGTATGCTCAGAGTTTTTTTTTATACTCTTGATAGCCAATGTTGTGCCATCAGGGAGTCTGCTTGATAGAATATTATGATAGATCCAAATAATCTTTGTGTGAAGTCATCAATGAAGATATAATTCTTCACAATTTATCCATTTTTTTTTTGGAAAATTTGGTTATAATGAACTTTGGTCAATTTACTTTTAATAATCTCAACTTTGGATTATTATTTAATAATCCGCACTTTAAGAGCTGAGGTGCTAATTTTTTCCTCTATAAGATCTCCCATGGTCATCTCAAAATCTCATAACCATCCGCCTCATATTCATTCTTCATCATGCATCCTTATATCTTCTCAGAAGAAACTTCCCACAAACTTCTTCAAACTCACTTCGACGTTTAGTTCACATCAACTTAGTGGAAACATCAATGGGACTATGGGAGTCATCATCATAGATATCATTAGAACTCTTATCAAAGCATGTACTTTCAACCTTCACAATATTTAAGCTTGTATGGCAGAAGTTAAACTCTTTACGAGGGACTTCAACTAGTACTTCAATGAGACATTCATAACATTCAATTTTAAAATGATAATCTACTAGTTATCAACTCATAAAAAATATTTGGACAATTCCATGACAGGTCGAATATATTATCGAACACACACGTTTTCTAATTACTTAATTTTACAATTGGAGTTTCAATTAAATTAAGACGGAGGGAGTAAGAGAGGCAAATCATGCACAACATTGAAGTGCTAACGAGCCTAACGTAAATTATTTAGTACTCCGTATGAAGGTTTTTTTTTTTTTTCAGAAAATAGTACGGAGTTAATCAAAGTATGCATATTACTGTTTGTAATAATATTTTTTTTTTTTGGATACAACTACTATATTTATAATTTTTTTTTAGGGAAATAGTACCGAGTAAATCAAATTATGCATATTACTGTTTGTAATAATATTTTTTTTTTTTTGTTGGGATACAACTACAGTATTTGTAATTGTAATTGTATTTGTAATTAATTTTTGTCTGTTTATTATTTTTTATTTTGATCCTAAGCAATTTTTTTCACTCCTGTGGAGCTTTGCAATCTCACGCTGCACGCCTGCACCACTCCCACTATCCCTCCTCCATTGAAGCGCATACTTTGAATCCTCCATTGAAGCGCATACTTTGAATCCTCTATTGAAGCTGCTTCTGAGCTTACCCTCCTCCATTGAAGCTGCTTCTGAGGTAAGATGTTCATTTTTTCTCTTTTTTAAACTTCGTATATCAATTCCACAATCTAGGGTTTATCGTTGATCTAATTTCCAGTGTAATTAATTTAGGGTTCTTCTTGGGTGGAATATTGAACTATTGATTATAATTGCTGAAGTTGTAAAAGTTTTTTATCGATCGATTTTGTTGCTAGAACTTTGCTTTGTGCAATTTGCCAAGTTATGTTGATATTATTAAGCGTGAAGAATTAAGCTAGTTTTTGGATTCAAGCGTTTGATTGCAAGTTTGAAAACAATGATATTTCAATTTCGGTATTGAATGTATTTGGATTGAATATCCGCATTTGAAATTTGGAATTGATTATCATCATTTGAAATTCTAAAATTGAAATGAAGCATTTAGAATTCTATATGTTGTTTGGTAACAATGAAATTTCAATTTCAGTATTGAATAGTGCAGCTTTTAATCTATTGTGTAATGCAATTTAACAGCTATAATATTAGTTTCCACCATCTCCACTTTACGTCTTCACGGTCACTTCGAGCTACTCGTCTCTAACAACTATACCAGATAGGCACATACTAACAACAAACAATTAATCAACTAGTATTGACTAAAGTTTAATGGATTTTCACTAACATTTGTTGAAGTTCATCTCTTCCAACTCTCATATGAGCATTCTGAAACTAGCAAATCTAGAGGATTTGGGGTTCAACTTGGAGACCAACGATGTGTCCGATGCTGCCATTGAAGAAAAGAATGGCACAGTCTTGCAGTGATGGGGGTGTTGGTGGTGGGTACTACAGGTGGTTTGTCACGAAGGTGTAGGCGGCAGTTATGAAGGTGGTTAACATGAAGGCAGAGGTGGAGCTTATTATGGCAAATCGGCAATGGAGGTGGTAGAGAAGGTGGTGGGTAATCCCGTGGTGGCGACAATGAATAAGGAGTCGGTATGGTTGTGGTTTAGTGGACAAAGAATGATTCGAAGGATTCCAATTGCCATCAATTATAATTGGATCCAAATTCTATAGATTGGGCTTATTTATTCAAAGGCATCCTAATGCAACTTATTTTGCTAATTCCCAAGCAGGTTACTTTTTTTTTTTTTTTGAAACCTCCCAAGCAGGTTACTTAGGCGACTCTATTATTGAAAAAAAAATGATAATTTGTGATTTTTGGAGCCTATTTGATCATTTGGTCAAATTTGGTTTCTAATGTGTATCAGGCTGTTGTTTATAACCCTTAAATGTAGGAATGATATATGAAAAATGGACCTGCTCCCCCTAGGCCAAAGGTGGCTGCCCCTCCTGCCCTAACTGAGGGACGAGAGTCACGGGCCTGTTTACAATTTAGGGAGTCTGATTTGATGTTTGTAAACATTGGAGAGAATTATTATGTTGGACAGTTTTTTTCCATTGTAATTGCAATTGTGTACCATCAAAATGTTAGTTGTAATTTGGCATTTGTGTTTGGTGTATTATACAAGTTGTGTTTGGAAACTTTAAGCAGAAATTCCTACCCAATTTCCAAGACTATTGTTTTTTTTATTTGTTTACCTGGGAGAGTTTCTAGTGAATAAATGAGGGAGAGTTTCAAATGAACAAATGAGATAAAGTAAGTGATTAACCTTGTGCAAGGTACATTAGGATGTATGCTGGACATTCAGCTACCTTTTTTTTTTTGGTTTAATCTTTAATCTATAGTTGATTTGCATGACCTAATGTCATAATTGTGTAGGTTTGGTTCGTCAATGGTGTTCGTGTGAAGCATGTGCAGCATATTGTCTACTAGACTGTTGAATATATGCATATCTTCTTTCTGTAAATTACAAAGATTGGACAAAGCAGAAGCAGTTATAATTGATGGTATAAGGCTAGGGGTTCTCCCAAACGTAGTGACTTACAACGCCCTTGTTGACGCCTACTGCCGGTTTGTTGGCATTGAAGCAGCTTATGCTGTTGTTCGTAGGATGCAAGTTGCAGGTATTACGCCTAACGTAATTACTTACAATTCATTGCTAGCAGGTGCCAGTAGGCAATGCCAGCTATCACTTTCCCTTGATATATTTGAAGAAATGCTGAATTTGGGTATTTCACCAGATTTATGGAGTTATAATACATTGATGCATTGCTTCTTTAAATTAGGAAAACCAGATGAAGCGTATAGAGTTTTCCAGGATATTATTCTTAATAATCTCAGTCCTGATAGAACTAGTTTCAACACGTTGCTCAATGGCCTATGCAGGAATGGGTATACTGATAATGCCCTAATGTTGTATAGGAACCTAAAGCGCCATGGCTGCGAACTTGAGCTGATAACTTATAATATTCTTATTGATGGGCTATGCAAAGCGGGTAGATTAAAGGCAGCTAGGTGGATTCTCAAAGAGCTTGAAAATTCAGGTTACATACCTAATGCTATTACTTATACTACAGTTTTGAAATGTTGCTTTAAGTCCAGAAAATTTGAAGAAGGCTTAGAAATTTTCTGGGAAATGAAGAGTAAAGGTTTTACATATGATGCCTTTGCATATTGCACAGTTGCAGGAGCTTTTGCTAAGAGAGGCATGCTAAAAGAGGCAAATGATTGCATGGAAGCAATGTTGAAAAGTGGGATTTCACCTGACATTGTGTGCTATAACACTTTAATGAATCTTTACTGTAAAGAGGGGAAGTTTGAGGCTGCTTATAAATTGTTGGATACGATGGCGGACGAAGGCTTTGAATGTGACAACTATACTCATGCCATTTTAATCGATGGATTGTGCAAGGCAGGGAATGTTGAGGAGGCTCAGAGACATATGAAATTAATTAGTTCAACGGGGTCTATTACAAATCTGCCAGCCTTCAATAGTTTGCTTGATGGGGTTTATAAAGCTGGCCATGCCGAATTTGCAATGAAACTTTTCAAGTTGTCGAAGATGAAGGATGAATTTACTTATTCCTCCATGGTGCACAATCTTTGCAAGGAAAGGAAATTCAGGAGTGCATCCAAACTCTTATTGTCTTGTCTAAAGAATGGGATGAACATACTTAAGTCTGCAGAGAGGGCAGTCATTAGAGGTTTTCGTGATTCAGGATTTAGGAGAGGTGCGAGGGAACTCCAATCAAAGATCAGAATGGTGAAATTCCTACGTTAGTTTTGCTGGGCATTCTTTGGTGGAAAACCTCACTTTGAAGTGTTATGCCCATGGCTGCCTCATTTTTTGTGTAGAATATGAGACCGTTGACCATGAAATGCTTAGAGAGTCCTTCTGGTTTAGGCAGATTGCTACCCCTTTCTTGTGCCATGGCCCATGGAACATTCCCTTGGTCATGTACAACGCCTTTATGTATAGATCAGAAAGAACAAAGGTGTTTGCTGCTGCCTATTGTTGCTTACTTAGGAATAAATTACAATCTCACAGGTAAATTGACAAGACAACTATGGATGGATCAGCTCACGAGCGAAGTATGATTCTATATCCTTATGTTCTTGCCTTTTTGGTCATGAATTTTGCTTGTGCACTCCTTAACTATCTTGACTAAAGTGCTTTATTGAGGCAGCTCTAACATCTTGTAATCTAAGCATTTTGGATGGAAAATTGAAACCTAATACATCGTGCTGATTGGACGTGGCTGTGAGGCCTGTGACTGCTGCCCTTAAACTGTCTGGATTTGATATTTGCAGGTAACTTTGATAATCTGGTTTATTTAATGCGTTTATGGCTGAAAAAAAGTGTATATACTTTTGGGAAAATTTGGTATTTGATGTAAACATTTGTAGCTGAGCTGATGATATATCCAATTTTTGCTTGTGATTTTCAGGTTATTGTCAAATTCTTTCAGCAGAATTTGAGTTCTAATTGAAGAATAATTATTATGCAAGTAGAACTAAAGACAATGATAAAAATTGAAACTTGTGACTGATATGTCTTTCACAAAACTACCACGAAAAATGCAGCATTTGCAGGGGTTGGCTTCCCAAAGTGAAATTAAGTGAAATTTATGTAAAGTTCTTTGAAGGATAGAGGACTACTAACATCTGAATGAGCAACAAGTTTTAGCTGTATTCAGGCTTAGCAATTTAGCATACTATACACATATCAGATACATGAGTATAAATGTGCTCAAAAAAAAGATATATGAGTATAAATTGTTGTAACTTGTAAATACAATCTACTTAAGCATAAATTGTTAAATGTGTACTTTGCTTTGAAATACTTTGTCGCGCTTAATCTTTGGTTCAAACTTCAACATTTCATTGGAAAACCCGATACTTCACCTGTGTTCATAGCAGCGAAGTTCTGCTAGGATCAGACATTCAATTGTTATGTTGTGGCAAAGAGGTTCATGGCTGAAGAGTTGAAGGTAACCATGACATTAAACTTGTATAAAGTCATAGGTACTAATATACTGCATTATATACATGATTTCAGGCTTTCAGCCACGAGTAATTTCATGAGCCAGATGAATAAAGAATATACTGAAACAGCCTACTTGATATAAAAATCACTACCTAATACCAATTATGTGGCAACAGGCTAGGGCATGCTGTGTTGGCGGTTGTGCTAAGCAAGGTCCATATCCGTGCCCCATGTCCATGTTGATATACCTGTAATACTCTTCTCTCAGGCTCTCCTGGATCAATCACTCACACATAGTCACAAACTATACAATCGTAGTACCAAAAAAACGATAATTGAATCGTTCAGACCAATACTCGATAAAATATTAAATGAAAGGTAGTTTTTGTCATAATATTCTGCTAGGGCGAATGGCCCATGGCAGGACAAACGCTAGCACCACGGCTACTAGTAAGAATCTAGACAAGGACGTGCTGCATCGGTGGTCTGTCGGATATGAACCATGGCTCATTGCAATTTCTGTCGTAATGATGCCAATATCTGTACCGTAGGCTCGAAATCCTGTATCCTCTATCCCTGCTACATTCTTTGCTGGTTTACCACATATCTCACAAGTCCTATGATAAAAAAAAATATAACTGATTTAGAAATGCTCAAACCAATACCAAATGTTAATTTATACAAACGTTCAAATATTATTTTCTAAATCTTGATTGTAATGAATTGAAACAACCATCTTAATTATATGAGCATAAGGATATATATTTTTTTTGTTTTTTTGGTAGAGAGTCACATATGGTAAAAGATTGATACAACGACCTCAAATTTTGAAAAACACTCCAACTTTGATAGACTAAAAAATGTGCTCCATATATGGTTGTGAAGGAGCCAGGAACAGATAATATTCAAGTAGTTAAAAGTTTAAAGATGCTAAAATTTAATACGAAGTTTTGTTTTGTTTTTTTTTTTTTTTTTTTCTCTTTGAAGTTATGTTGGACTATCATGAAAATTTTAACAAAGTTATGTTAATTTTCCAAAGCATATTATACATTTGCCACTTTACAAAGTTATTCATTTAATATTTTAATTTTAACTAGTGTTTTAGATAAGACGATGCCACAGGTTATTACATATGCTACGATAATTGTACACGGTATTCAATTATTCATTATTCAAAGCGTGTACTTTAATAATTGTGTCTAACATTCATGATTCAACCTAATCTTTATTGATTTTTGTTTATTATGTTGTCATATACGAAGTACAATTTTGCTTGCTTTTAAAAACACAAATTATGACATGGTTTAGTGGTTAAGTTTTCACTCCGTATTATTTAACATTGAGATCAGAAGTTTAAATTTTATACAGAGTATAAATCATATTTTTATGTTTTAAATTACTCGTGGAAGAGTGTCATGTACACTTAATTCGTAATGTCTTTTAATATATAAAATATAATATAATATAAATGTTTTTCTTGATGAATTGAAAAATGCATCATCAAAATTAAAATAAAAAGTAAAATACAATTCTTGTAACTTTTTTTTTTGAAGAACGATTCTTATAACTTGTAGGAGCTCTTATTCACCATATACCACTGAGTTTTAACTTAATTCACCATATACCACCAAAAATTTTCTAATACACCATGTACCACTGAGTTTAATATAATTGTCACAACATGCCCTTAATGACTAATGCCATCAACTCCGTTAGTAACTAAGGTTAATTGTGTCACGTGGCTATCACTTATTGGCTCTTATTAATATTATTTAATTAATTACTTATAAAGAATAAAAAACTTTAAAAAAAATAAACCACCACCAACCTAGCCACCGCTACCCCCAGCCCAGCCTGGCTGGTGCTTAGGTGGTCGGCGTCAATCACCCTTACCCCACCGGCGACAACCCTCGCCCCCAACCCTCTCCTTTCCCCCCTGATCCTTTCCCCAATTTCCACAACCCCACCACCAGTTTACCTCCCAACCACCTTCTCACCTACCAACAGTGCCTACCCACCCCGGCGACCGGCCATATCGGCCCTCCATCGCCGGCCGACCCACCCCTTATCTTCAATCCTTACCTCGACCCTCTCCCTTCCCCCATCGTGCCACCAGTCAAACCCTAATCCACGAAATCACTCCCTAGCTCCAACAAAAAACCCAATTTTTTGTACTTTTCACTCCTCCAACTTGGTCGATTCTTCTTGTGGGTGGGTTTTGATGTGGTTGAAAGGGTTTTGAGGGTTGTAGGTAGATTTTCGGGAGTGGTGGTTGGTTTTAGAGGTTGTGGGTGGTTTTCAATTGTTGTGGATGGATTTTCGGGAGTGGTGATGGTTTTCAAGGGTCGTGGCTAGGGTGAGGGGAGGCGCCGGGGCAGGGGAAGGGGAGTTTGGGCGCCGGGGCAGGGGAAGGGGAGTTTGGGCGGTGTGGGGGGCGGGGAGGATGCTCACTGGCTGGGCTTGGGGTGGTGGGATTTTTTTTTAATTAATTAATTAATTTAAATAAGAACCACTCAAATGCTGCTACATGTCACAGTTAACGTTAATAACTACCAGAACTAATAGAAAATGGCATGTCGTGACATTTATGTTAAACTCAGTGTTACATGGTGAATTAGAAAGTTTTTGGTGATATACGGTGACTTTTAACATATAAAAAAAGTAAGTTTATTATGTGTTTGATAGTTTTTCTGAACACAATCACCGTTAAAATGAAATGAACTTTTAAAGACAAAAGAACTAACTTTATCTGCATTGAATTGTCAAATTACACTACTAACCCGATAATTTAGCGGACTAAGGTGCATCATTGTTCAAACACAAGTTGATTTAAGAAAATTATTATCCAACAAAAATTCCTTCATTTATAATTAAAAAAAAAATTAAAAAATATAAAAAAAAAAAATTAAAAAAATACAAAGAAATGATTGAGGGTAAAGTTGGAAACCTGTTTCCCTTCTGCTGAAACCAAACAAGAGCACAATGGTAATGCGAGATACCAAGTTCACCTCTACAAGCACAACCAAGGAATACCAGATTAACATTCCCTGCACCCGCAGGCAGATGATCAGTGCTCAACAATTGACATATTCTGCATACTTTCTCATCATTTTTATTTTCTTTTTCTTTTTCTTCCTCATTTCTTACGTCTATTATACATACATGATCCTTTGAACCCATCTCATCAACCTTATGTTGCAACCCATCTGTGTTAGACTTCTGATCATTTAGATCTCTCGAAATCGATGTCGAAGGTTGCATTATTGTCTCTGAAGAGGTTTCTTGATGTACCTGTAATGGGGATGGTCTTGCTTGGTTTTGTAGATTTGATGAAGAAGTTTTGGTCATTTAATGGATATTTTTGTGTAATATCCTAAGAAGTTTTTTTTTTGGTCTTAAAATTGGATATGAAGAAACAGCTGCTTGGATATGATTTTATCTTACATGCAGTGAATAGTGCATAGTTTTTTTGGTAAAGAAACAACACTTGTTATTAATTGCCTTTTAGAGGAGATTAAATTGGATTTTCAGGAAGAACAAATTGATTTAGTAGGACTTGGTTTTTTGGGGGTGCTACCTCTTTGTACTCTTGAAAAACAAAGGACAAATGGAAGGATACATACCATTATCAGAAAAATAAATAATATTAAATTACCGCAGTTCATAAATATAACATCAATTATTGAAGAAGAAAGTTTTATTAATATTGCATCGTTTTCTTACAAGGGAATCCAGGGAAATGATTTTGGCATACTGTAAGTTGATTTTGGCACGTCCTATGTGAGAGCACAATTTTTTATGATTCTCTCACATGGAAGTGAGCCAATATCAATAAAGGGTGTGCAAAATCAATTTCCGAGAATCCAACATCTTTTTTTACTACATATGGAGTAATATGTGAATACCTACTGTGATTTTTTTATTCACATGATTCTTGTGATACCCATTTTCTTAATATTCGTACATATCTCCTTTTACGTTGCAATATACTAGAATAGAGAAAGTATAATGCAAAGTATTTGATAAATGAAAGTTGCACGATAAAGTGAATCAAACATAGGTGTTAGGCTTTTGAATTAGATGTTAGCTTTTACTTGGTTCTATTAACTACTTGTATTTATGTAAGAATGTTTACTCCCGCCATTCTTGAAAGAGGGTTACGTTTGTCATTATAAACTTTCCTTTATTTATTTATTTTTTTTGAATGGATATAAACTTTCCCTTTTAATTGTTACAGTAAGTTTTAATTATTATTTAGATTGATGTAATTTTTTTTTTTACACATTTCCCCTTATACACTTTCAATGCAACTATCCTCATTTACTAAAATAATTAGCTACTACCAATGCAACTATTCCTATTTACATAAATATTTACTTATTTCTAACACAAATATATAAGATATAACCCCAGGATATCAAAAAAAAAAAAAAAAAACGATTTCCATCAATATTGCTTAAATTAAAATTTAGTCCCTGTTTGTTTCGTTTTAAAAAGTAATTCCCAAAGTATTGTCCAATTAGGATCGAATATTATTTTAATTTTTTTTTTAATTTTTAAAGCAGTAAAACCACAATCACTAATAGAGGTTCTTATTCTTTTAATAATTACACCCAATTCTTCTTTTCCGCATCATTTCACTCTATCGACAACAGTAGTAACACTTTTTTTTAAAAAAAAAAAAAACAGAGCAGCATTAAAAAAAAAAAAAAAAAAAAAAAAAAAAAAAAAAAAAAAAACAAACAAACAAAAATAGAGCAGCGTTAAAAAAACTCGACCACCATTATCCTCTCCTCCACAACGTTTCACGACGACCACCAGCTTCTCACCAATGTAAGCACGCTGCGTGTTGCCTGGATTCCTTCCCCATCGCCTTTTTTGACCTTCAATTATGTTTATTATGTTATTTGGTGTACTTGGAGCATTATGCCTTGGATTTTTGATTTTGAATAATTAAATTTACTTGGGGAAATTAGGTTTAGATTTTTGAGTAATTAAAGTTGCTATGTTATTTAATTTGGTGTACTTGGAGTATTATCAAGATGTATTGTATGCCTTTTTCTTTTTGCAAGCTAACATAATAAGCATCAGTGGGCTAGGAATACAAGTTCATATAAGTGGCACGGAGTACAGGCAGAATCGCAAACAACATCAGTGCTTCCATTAATGATAAAACCGCGATATGTGATAGCGATTATAAACTGTAAAACCGCAATCCGCGGTTCTCGGTTGAACTAGAATTTTTTTTTATTTTTTATTTTAAAAAAAGAGCTAGTTAACAAAGCTACGTGGACACTATTCAGGGAATAAATTTATAAACCAAAACAAACTGTGAAAATTTTATAATACACCCAGGTGTACCATGCTTGGTACACTCGAATGAAAAACTACAATAGTATGCTTGGTACACTCGAATGAAAAACTACAACAGTATTGTTTTTTTTTTTTTTTTTGAAAAAGAAATAAGTTTCAAATATGTCTTCCTTAATTGAAGGAATTTGTTAATTCTTTTCCATATTTATAGCTTCTAAAATATTACTCTCTATAATTTTTTATAATTTAATTTATGAGATTTAGTGAGAATTTTTTAGATCGAGAAAATTTTATATATAGAGAATGATAGTGCATGGTGAATTTTATCACGATTATGATCAAAGATCTCCTATTAATGCTTATAAGAATGATGTTTTTGAGAATGAAGGTGAGATTCATGAGGAATTCGTGACCCAATTAAAAGGTAATTTTAGATTATTTTATTTTTATTTTTAAATTTCATATTTTTGATGTTTGTTGATGATAATTTATATTTGTTCATTGATCCTTGCATTGTTAACAAATTCGTTATTGAAAGTATCTACTTTTCAATTATTTTTAGTTTTTGCATTTGTTTCTAAATTTGTGTTATTCCAGAGGTTGAAAATGATGTTCTTCAAACTATAAGGAATGTTCATTTGTTTGTTTGATCCATATTTTTTTGGGATATTCTCAATGGTAACCCCCTACAATTGCTACGCACCAACGGTAACCCCCCTTTTTTTGGATTATATGAAATGACCTTAGTTATCTTTTTTCTCCTAATGATGACATTAATGATGGTGTTTTAACATAACTTAAAACCATGGTTAACCAAAATAGCGACATGACAAAAATGCCCCCTTTTATTTGACAGATTTTATTTATAAAAAAAAATAAAAAAAAAATCTACTCTGGCAGCCCCCCAACCCCACAGCCCAACATCCACCACCTCACCCTAACCTTCCACCTCCAGCCCAACCCCTGCCGGCAAACCCCACTAGCCCCCACCCTAGCTGGTGAACCCACCCAATCCCCCACCCAGCCCCAACCCCTGCCACCTCCAGCCCCTACATCCGCCCAACCTCCGGCAGCCCACGCATCACCAATCCAGCCATCTCAACCTCGCACACACCAACCACCTAACCATCCGCCAACAATACCACCGAACCGCTGCAACATACCACCAGTTAACCACCACTCCATCTTCGCACCACCGCAGCAGCCCCAATTGCACCAATTTTGCATCTAATTGAAGAACCATGGCAGCAATTCAACAGAGAAATCCCAATTTCGATTCATTCTCATCGCGGGCGCGCATCCTCCAAGCATGGGTTCATCGCGGTGTTTGCGTGAGGTGGATGTGAGGTGCGGCTGTTTCCTCCAAGCATTGACGGTGTGCGGTGGAAAAAAATTGAGATGGAGGTGTGAATTGTGAGGCTGCTGCAGTGACTAGGTGGGGGCATCGGGTTTAGGGAATGAGATGAGGGTGGGGCGGGGGAGGCTGGGCGTCGCCGGCGTCAGCCGGGGGTGGAGGGTGCTTGGCGCCAGTAGGGAGAGGGCTGGTGGCTGAGTGGCTGGTGGGTAGGAGAGGGTTTGGGTTTTTTTTTATATAAATATTTTTATAATTATTAATTATTAAAAAAAAACTAACCATAGTTAATTTTAATTGACTATTTTATGTTAAAACACCATCATTAATGTCATCTTTAGGAGAAAAAAGAAAAGTAGTGTCATTTCGTATAATCCAAAAAAGGGGGGTTACCGTTGGTTTATATCATCTAATAATTATGTTTTTTTTCTTTTTTGTAATCATGATTACCGAGGTTGATGAGAAGTTTTTGGGATAATGATGGACTTTCAAATCTAAAGATCATCCATAATATTGATAAAGGACATCCACGTTATTAATAAGGAACATGATACTATCATGTAATGAACAATACATTAATTAATCACTATGATCAAAAGACAAATTTTAAATAATAATAATTCACAACAAGCGATGAACATTGTGGGATAGTAAAAGTACATTACGATTACATTTGATGAACATTCATATTTAAAATAGTTTACCAAAAGATCGAATAAAGAACATACAATATATGATATAATAACGAACATGCAAAAATAATACTCTGTATTATTATTAACTAATTATACATTACAAAAAAGTATAAAGTACATTCTGTTTTTCGATAAAGGACATTATTAAATTATCAATGAACATTACAAAAGATGCACGTGATCATAATTTAGACGACCATTACAAGATCTAATAAACTAATTAAATATAAAGAAAGGATTTTTAAGTGAAAAATATGTTTTTTTTTAAAATTTTTTTTTATTAATATAGGAACATAATTTATTTAGTGCAAAAAAAAAAACTTATGTTTTGGAAAGATTGAATTTTTTTGGGATAAAATAATATGAAGAGTGTTTTGGGTAAAAATACCCAGGACACGTGGTCCAATCAAAGGGTGACACGTGTCACCTTAGGAGAGGTTCAAAATAAACCAATCCTTAACTGACACGTGGCACTCCCAATCAATGGGGAAAAAGACGACCTTCAGGGCCCAATTCCCGAGAAAAGCCGCAAAACGACACAGCCCCCAAATATAGGTCAGAATGACCTAGATACGGGCACCTTTACCAATGACCCTATAAATAGGGAGATTTACCCAAGTTTGGGACATATATTCATTAATTATTATACAAACAATTCTCTCACATCAGAGAAATCCCCTGATCTCGGAATCCGAGAAGATCTCACTTTAATTTCCGCACCATTTCACTTTCTCCGTACACGTTCTAACTTGATCGTCGAAGACGGAACTCCACCCAATTGGAGTCTCCGTTGTTTTGCAGGTACAGGCGCCCGGAATCCAGTCTTGGTGATGTAACTCTCCCGAGGGACAAAAACCCCGAAACAAAGAGAGAGAAAAAAGGAATTTGGAAAAGTCAAATGGCAACTTTTTGGTGTAGCAGGCCACATCGTGTGGCAGGGGTTACCCGAGTTATTTTGTTAGGGGTTACCCGAGTTATTCAGTCAGGGGTTACTCGAGTTACTCGGTCAGGGGTTACTTGAGGGGTTCGGATATGGGTTACTCGGGGGTTCACTCGGTCAAGGGTTACTTGAGGGGTTACTCGAGTTACTCGGCTATGAGTTATTTAAGGAGTTCGGTCAAGAATTACTAGAGTAATTCAGTCAGGGGTTATTTAAGGAGTTCGGTCAGCGGTTAATTACTCGGTCAGGGGTTGTTACTTGAGGGTTCGGTCAGGGGTTACTTGAGGGGTTATTCAGTCAGGGGTTACTTGAGGGATACTCGGTCAGGGGTTACTCGAGGGGTTCGGTCATGGATTATTCGAGGGGTTACTCGGTCGGGGGTTA